TGGGGGGGGGGGACTTCAACATTGAGCTTTCCTGCTTCTCAAGATTTTCCCTTCTCCATATTTCCTCTAAGCCATTCAACAGTTTCTTTAAACATATTATTCGTGTGTGTGTGTGTGTTGTTCTTATGTATTATTCTCGTTTCCGAAGTGCCCGAAGCCTTTGGCCAGCTCCGTCCCGGAGTTCGGCGGGTGTCCTTCCTCTCGGGATTGCCCACAGGATTGTGGCACCAACCAGAGTGAAGAAAAGTCACCAGAGACCTGCCAAAAAGCGGCGCCCCCTTGGAACAGCAAACCTAGAGGTTTCCACACACCCCCCACACCCCCGGGAAACAGGGACTTGCTTCCGACTAAGCGGAGGTCAAAGTCGGCTGCACGTTTCGATCTGAGACCCGAAAAGGAGATCCCCGGCCGGCCCCGGGGACACGGGACTCTGCCTCTCCATCCATCATCTGCATCCCCCATTGACGTCAACGGGAGCAACATTTCCTCTCGCTTGGAACGGCTGCCGCGCCTTCGGAAAGCCAGGGACATTCCTGGGGAATCGCATCAGATCCCGAGCCCCCCCGAGGGGATCCTCCGCGAACCCGCGCTCCCAGTCCTGGCACTTCACCGGGCGACGGAGCGGAGAGCGCCGGGAGGGACCCGAAACAGCGCCCGGAACGGAAGTCAAAGGCGATTCCCGAAAAGTTCAAGCTCGGAGCTGATTCACTCGACGGCGAAGGAGCCGGGGGCCAGCGGGGAAAGGCGGACAAGCGGGCCAGCAGTCAGGGACCGGCGGGGAGCAGAGGACCCGTCGAAAGCCTGCCGGCGAAGTTGTACCAGAATCAAACGAACGGCTTTGGAAACCGGGAACCGGCTCTTCAAACGAGGCCCCTCGGATCCACCAGTTTGATTCCCAAGGAGGCCCAGAAGATTGCTTTACGGCTCAGGGAGAACCGCGCTCGCTCGCTCGCTCTCTTTAAGTCGAGCATTAGCTTTAAAAGAAACGTTTCTGGAGCGGCAACCCTAAACACAACTTACTTCAGTCTCAAACAAATTAGATTTCGAAATCCCTGACTGGTAGAAAGTCATACAGGACGATCCTAGACACCTCGTTTGAAAATAAGCGCAAGCCTGCTCGCATCTAAATCCTTCACGCGTGTTTAGGGCTTGTTGTGGTGTCCCCGCCCCCCCCCCACCTAGAAAACACAAAGATGGACGTTAGCCTGACCTTGGCTAGCTACCGAGCAGGTCCCAGCGCTGGCATTCCTTGGGGGGGGGGGAGTGCGTCCTTTGGTTGGTCCTCATAAATAGTATCGTGTTGATATTGTTCTGGTTTTGGGGATCTTCAGAACTGGGATTCAGACCCACTGAAATCACTCACAAGCGAGTGTGCTTAGAATCGGGGAGGCACCGTGTTTGTAGTGTTGTGGCCGAATTCCCACAGGAGAGGAAAGTCTTTACGAGGAAGAGCAAAACACACGCTTCAGTTTGCTTCTTGGTCGTCTGGACAAAAAAGTTCCCGTGCCTTCCCCCGTTTCCCCACCGTGGCCTGATGCAGCCCCTTTCTTTGTGTGTGTGTGTGTGTTTGTGTGTGTGCATGTCCCTTTTCACTAAAAATAATAATAATGATGCTTGGGTTCCTTGGATTAATTGTAATCCGTAAGAATAAAATGTCCAGAATCCCTCATAATTTGTACTGAGGAGAAAGACCCGCAGAACAATTTCGCCCAAAATTCTCGTTAACAGGGTTTCCAGTCATTGTATTTTTGCCCTTCAGATTCGAACCCTAAAGTCTCTTCTTTTATTCAGACTTCTCTCGCCTTTAACTGTTGTAAAACAGTGGGCCGTATCAGGGTTAGCGCAGAGGAAATTCTCAGCGTCCACGAAGAATTTGGCTGAAGAACTGTTTCTTTTTCCGCTTCAGCCCGAAGCATTCCCGTCCCCACCCCCTCTCTCTTTTAATTTTTAGAATTCATTTTAGGACAAGAAAAGTTCTCTGTCTAACTTGCCTGGGGCCTCTCTTACTCATGGCTACTATCGCGAACAGGATCCAGAGGTCGCTCTCCTAGGAGCATTTTCGCCGTTCCCTTCCCAAATTGAAAACAAATCGGCAGGAAGAGGCAGAAAGACATCAAAAGCAGTAAAACCCAAGAACCCGGCAGGGCGAGCGGACTGTTGGCCTGACTCGCGTCCCCCAAGCCACCTTGCGACCCTCTCGAGCGAAGTCTTGGGGGAAGGGGGGGGGGAGAAGCCCCGCTTGGTGACAAGAGCCCTCGAGGTAATCAATAGGGACAAAGGTCTGCCTGTTCTGTTTTTAAGGTCTTCGGCGAGATAAGACGGATACGTATCAGCAGCGAGTCCAGGCAATAAAGACGCCCAAGAGCCAGAGAGATAATCATCGACACCTCGGACATAATAGAGCTCAAAGACTGGAACGGCACCCGTTTAGCGGCAATTCTCCGGCGTCCGGAACGTGCAATCGAGCGCTGGGGCGGCAGAAGAGGTTCATGGGGGGGGG